CTCTCTCTCTCTCTCTCTCTCTCTCTCTCTCTCTCTCTCTCTCTCTCTCTCTCTCTCTCCCTGTTTTCTGCCTCTCCCTTTATCTGTCTGTCGGTCGGTATCCTCCCCCATTCCTCAAGCCTCAGAGTCAAGCACAATAATTGGTGGTGTCGCAGAACATTCTACACAAGATTCTTCAGAGCGACGATGATGAAGAAGAAGAGACCAAGGGGAAGGGTGACGAAGAAAACACTTTTCTTGATGATATCAGCTCGCTCAAAGATTCTACAAGGTTGTACTCCTCACATACATGAAGTGCTAGTTATCTGAAAATATTTCCAGCTCCTAGAGTTGCGCTTTCAGAGCTTTTGGATGTAGTATACGTGTGGAAAAACGAAGTTGTGAGCTGCCATTATCAGAAATAAAGATGCAAACATGTTTAGAAAGTGTCCAAAGATCATATGAGATGTGACGAATTGAATGAAATTTGAAGCAAACACTTTACAAAGAGCCAATAATCCAAGAGTTGCAATCTTTATTGCTTCTCAAGTCGCTTCTATTCTCAAAGTGCTTTCGAGATTTTAAAAAAAAGGCCGTGTCATGCGCTTAAATCGCAACTGCAGATGTTGATGATCAGAGTTCAAAACAAAAGTCGGAGTGCACAAAAGTAGCAAGAGAAGAGTGATGTGTAAACAAAACACCCACCTCTTCCTGTGATGGCAGCTCCGCGGATCTTTCCGATCAATCCCTTGATGCGATGTCTGCGATTGTCAAGGTTATTGCAATCAAAAGCATGCTTCACATAAACTGCACAATCAGATGGAGGTTGTGCAGATCTTGACTGCTCGTGTCAACATGTATGAGAATGGTTCAACATTCAGGATGAAGTCTTCATCCTCACATACATCATCTCTACGTTTACAGCATCGCAATCGTTATCAGTGTTGATCCTTCTTGTGGTCCTCAACCATCATCATCAAAGTCACTGTCATCATCATACTCTCTTTGCTAGCATGTTGCTCCCATACTACAATCATATGGTTCAAACTCGTTTCCCATGCCATCGTTCCCTCTGTCATGACCCCCATCATCTCGATCTCTATCAACACCGCTAACAACAAGAACAGGATCTCCTCCCCCTCATCTCCATCGTCATCATCATCATCTCCATCGTCGTCGTCGTCATCCTCATCCTCATCATCCAGCCACGAAACTCACGCAGCAGCCCAGTCCTTCTCCGCGCGGTTGGAGTGATGGAATCGGTCGCCATCGATCTGACCGTTGAGCGCCTGGTGGAGGGCCACGTCCCCCCACAACTTCTGAGTCTTCTGCTGATAGAAAGCCATCCTGCAAGCGAGGTCACGAGCCAAGAATCCCGCAGCGAGCCGATCTTTGACAACAAGGAGGGCACGCTCTCAACAATCACTACAAAGGTCTTCCAGCAAACATGCCTTGCAACAGGGTCAATCCGATGTCCTTCCCACGATCATTCGAGTTCATGGGGACTAGCATGGCTCGCTAGCCGTTCTTTGTTGATACCAGTGCAAGCACTCCTCCCTTCCTCTGCCACCTTCTCATCCTATCGTCCATTCTCACTCTTCCCTTACCTGATTCATCCTCTACAGTTTGACTCCTTGCTGCTGAACATTCTTTTCATCCAGATACATTCTCCGCTCTCATTCACAATCTTTCCCCTAGCACTTCACAGCACTAGCTCAATCACGTTCACAGAATGGTGACCACATGACAAATTCACAATCATTCGGCCTCCGCCGCTGTTGTAGACTTCTCTGCCTCCTCCCAACACATTGATCGATCTCTGAGTTCGCTGCCCCTCTCCTTCATCCCTCCCCATGATGCGCTTGTTCCAATGGCTGGCGACTTCTGCCATTGCGAACAGTCACTGTGTCCTTGGGGTAGTGGGGTTCCAAGGGGCAGGGGTGCAGTTGTCCATAGGGGTACTTCAAGGCAAAACAAGGGGTATACCAAGGATGAGAATCGAAATCGGGTAGGGTGGGCTCAAAGATTGACTGATTTTTTACTCATAGGGATTTCCGGCAAAACTAAATCAAAATCTCATTTTGACTATTTCAATAATTATAAGAGATCCTTCCTATAACAGATAACACCCACCCGTCCATCCACTACCCACCCCTAACACATACCCCCCAGATCCTCTCTTGGCCGCCTAAATCGTTGGACCCTACCCCCTCTTTTGAGTGCCCTTATTACCCTCACTACCCACCCATCCCTGTAGATCCCAATTATACTACCCCTACCCTCCAAATTCCAGCCCCCGACCGTGCATTTCTACACCCCTCGGAGGATACTGGCACCCCTACCCCCTAAAATGTGGAGCTACCCTCTTATTTTCACCCACCAATGGCAATAGTTGGTTGATCATCCTTGCATACGAAGAGTACCCGGTCCGATTAGCTCTATACTACCCTATATTTGACCTTCATTGAAATAGGTGGTTAAAAGAACCCGTTCTATTGGTACCCCTACCCTCCCTCAAAAATCTGGACCCTACCTCCGTATGGTCTGCTGTACCGACCCTCCACTGCTCCCCCGCCATGACGCCAGAGAGACTGAACGTGGTCGCCATGCTTGCTTTGACGACAGTCATGCTGGCTCATGTTGCGTCGCTTCCACATGCTTCAGCCATGTCCCCCTCTGTAGGCCAGCCGCACAGCCTCTCTCCTCTCCCTCTGTCGAGATCTTCGTGCTTCGTTTCTTCAGCAGGAGCGACGCCGTCGTTGACTCGATCGCCTGGATTGGCCGCATGCAGAATTTCTTCAGCACTGCCCCTCCGCAACTTTGATGCCAAGACTAGGAGCGTGCAAGATTCAATCCTCGGTCAGATCAAGCAGCATTCAAGAATCATGAGGTCCCCTCTTGTTCTGCAGCAAAGCAACAAGGATTCCGACACGGCAGACATGGAGGAGGAGGAAGTCGAGGTCGTGGTAAAGGACACCAAGACAGGAAAAACCATTGATTGCTACGTGGACGAGGAGGTTGTTGTGGATGGACAGGAATATGCACTTGTTTACCCCTGCGATACACCCGTCGGTGATGCTTCTAGAGCGAACTCGATTAAGCGAACATTGACCTGTGTTATCTGTAGTGCTCGCGTATGTGGACAAGGATTCAGATGGAGAGGAGTTGATTCCCGTCAGTGACGATGACATTCCCAAACTTTTCCCAGGTGAACATTCTTGGAACCTCTTCACATAGGTTGACAGCGGGCCTTGCCTCGCCTTTCTGGTGTCAGGGGCTTACAAGGCTTGTGCTGAGCAAGATGTCGAGCTCATTGACTCAGCTGTCGTTCTCACACTGCAAGGTCAGTGTTGCTGCTTGACATGTAGTGCTGTGGGTCCAGAGGTGCTCACGGACGTCTAGGAGACATCGGTGACGATGAAGAAGATCTCGAGGACCTGGGGGAAGCAGGTGTGCGATCTGGGAATTCTTCCCTTCCTGACTGGGAGAGAAGGAGAGGATGAGGAATTTGTGAAAGTTATCACGAGCTATGAGGAGAAAGGAATAGAGTACCTGGTGAGCTTGCAGAGCACGCCTCACTCCGATGTCTTGAGATCATGTGATGCGTCTGTTCTCAGGTCACCGAGCCCCTGGAACCAGTTCTCATCATTGCAAAACCGGGTAGAGCTCAATGAAGTGAAGAAAATTTGATGATTGTTGACAATATTCTAGGAGAGCAAACAAAAAGTAAGAAGAAGACGTACTTCACCCTGCCGGAGGTCAGGAAGCGAAATTGATACGGAGGTTGGGCGTGATAGAATTCATTTGCAGGAGGAGATCAGCAAGATCATGCCAAAGATTGAAGAGATTCTTGAGCTCCGTTTTGAGGTGAACTGTGTTTGTTCGCATGCCTGGTGTATCTTAAGGTATTTCAATCAGGAGGAAAACTGAACTACATGTTATCGATGAATTCGCGAGAGGAGGTTTTGGCCAAACAACTTGGAAGATAACTTGCGATGATAGTAATCATCATGTATCGAAAGCCTTCACTGCATCTTCATCCTATGCTTGCTGCTTGATCCTGCGTTTCCCAACCCCTTATACCACTGGCTTGTGGCGTTGGCGAATTCAAGCATGTGGATTTCTGGGGCATAAGGCTTCGTGATGCTGGGTGGGATAGAATTGCAGAACTCCTTGAAGAAGCGCGCTTGTGCTTCTTGCTCTCTTTTGATGCGAGCAACCATCCCATCCTCCTTGGCGATCTCCGTGAGACGCTTCATCTCACCCCGCTCTCTCATCTTCTCCGCCACTTGCTTGCGCGCACTGTCAAAGCGCTGCTCCCACTCCATCACTATCCTCTCCCTCCTCTTCTCTCTCGCGTCTCCCTCCACGCTTTCAGTCGCCTCCAGCACATTAAATTCTCGTCTCGGCGTAGACTCTGCTGGTACCTCTAGCCGAGGAGGCTTCTCCCGTGCCCACATGCGGAGGTACTGCTGGCTGGGGTTCCAGTTGAGGAAAGGAGCAGCGCACTGCCTGAACTTCGACTTGTCGATACAGTCGTCCGCTATCTTCGAAAATTCTCTGAACGTGAGAGCTTGACCTGACATGTTCTCAGCTTCTACTCGCCTTGTCGTGTCCAGCTTCTGGATGCCCTCCTTCCAATCGCGATACGATATGAACCCGTCGCGATCTCGGTCAAGCAGGAGGAAAGCTTCTCTGAGAGATTTCTTGTTCTGATCGAGGCGGAGTATAATGTCCTGTACTTGATCCGGCTCGATAGACTTCCTGGCGCTTCCTGGACAAGATTTGTCTGTGGAGAACAAGATCACACATTCGTGATACATAGGATGAAATTCACCTGACTTTGACGGACTGCAAAACAATCTGCGCTTTTCGGAGACGCTGTCCATGCCCCTTGATGTATGGAACCCTCCCTGTCATCTTCAGAATCATTCATATGGACATCCCAACGCAAAAGCACGCTTCCATGTTTGTGACATAATGATTCATTACCGCCGTGCTTGTTTTTCTAGGCGATGAGACCTCGCGAGAAATCCTGCTTGTGAAAGATTTGGGATCATTACGACTCCCACCCTGACTCTCAGAAGCATCCTCGACTTTCTGATCAGCACAGATGAGCAAGCTATCAATCATCGCAACGTGCTTCGTCGCACCCGCAGGTCGAGGCGCATCAGAGGGGTTTGAACATGCTCGTTCTCTCTGTTCCCTTGCTGGCTCCGAGGAGTTCTGCAACAGAGAGTCAACTTGCGAGTCGACAAGTCAAGATGGAAGTCACGGCAAGCGCGGGCTGTTGCTCTTCTTCAAGTCTGTGGAGAAGATTACTTGAGTATGCCTCAGGTTCGAGGAATGAGCACCACTAGACAGGGCGCTTCTAGAGTTTGAGGAACCATATTGGTTTCTCGTCTTGCCCCTGAGTCCAAGGTGAGCGTTGAAACTAAAGTTCTGTCTCTACCTCGCTTTCATCCTTGTACCTCTTAGATCACGTTGACGGCCGTTGATACAACAAAAACCTTGACTGAGCCATTCAATGGGCGTGAGCTGGTCAAGAAGCTTGTAATGGAAAAGAGAAAAGACGATCTAGATATCAGCAACTGAAGGACTTCGATCAATGAGCATGAATCCTCTATTCAATCAACATCATTCACAATCATTGAGCGAGTTCCCCCTCTTGAAACAGCATTCTGTCCTTCATAAGTTATGAAGTCTTTCATCAATCATTCAGATCCTCATACAGCTTCTTGTGCCTTGACTTGTTGTCTCAATGCACAAACATCCAGCCAACTGAAGGTCGAGTCCTGCTTAGAGTTGGTATGACACTATCAACTTCCTGAGGGCCTCCGGGGCCTACCAACTGCCAACATGAAGTATCTCCATCTTTCAGACCTCTTAACTTGGTTCACTGCAGCATATATCTCACAGCAGAGTTGACTTTCGCAATCCTGCTCCATTGTGTCCTCCTCCCTCCTACTCTTGTCGCATCACGGCAAATCTGACGGACTAACTGTAACTTCTTCGTTGAGTACGAGTGAGAGTCAAGTACTATCTGCCCTACATCAGATATCATCTCACTGAAGTCAACTCGCAGGCGTGTTCATCACAGAGCTGGATCAGTGTCTGTCATAGCCCAGCTGGTGGCATTCAGCTGACAGGCCCCTGAGTCTCGCCATGGCAACTCAGCAGCAGCGGCATGGCAAGTTTCAGTTACTACAGTGGATAACCCTAAAAAACACTTGTAAAACAAAGAAAGATAACACTAGGCCTACTGAGTCGCGCCCGGCCGGCCGCCGCGCGGCCTCCCCGGGGGCCCGACTTGGGCCGCCGTCACTGAATCGGTACGATCGTGAGGCAGGCCGGGCAGCATCATCAACACTGATGGTGAAGCGCCGCAAGCATGGCGGTCAAGGCGTGACTGCCAGACCAGCCTGCGGACATTCTGATCGGAACACTGTGACTTCAGTTGTGGTCAACACAGCCACTTGAAATGACAGAAGTTCCACTGGATCTTTCCGATCTTCCAAAGTTCGTTGCCACTGCCAGTTTCCTTGATGTTGGCACTGAGGCTACGATCGGTGAAGTACCAAAGTTTGAGTCCAAGTTCTTATGCTGGCAACTAGATCAAACTCAGATATCGTCTTGCTATCATACCTCTTTTAATGCATCGAAAGATTCGGTCTATCTAATAAAACATGCACGAAAAGAAACAACAAGCCTAACTGGAGGATTTCCTTAATCTCCTTTCACAGAACGTTGTGATATCTCTCAAGCCTATGCTTTTTCATTTCAGCAGGTTTTCAAGAAACGCACGAGAACCTCTCGTGTTGACAACTTTCAAACGTGCAAACATCTATCAGTTGAGCTTTCTCAAGTCCAATCAACATCCATATCTATCGTTGGGTCGTCGTGTGCTAGTCCAACAAACCACTCGATCCATTCTCTTGTCAGTTCCATCGGCTCGTCTGCAGAGTCTCCATCATGCTGTTCTGGTGGATCGCTCTCAGCCATGAGAGGATTTGAGTCACGCGGCTCGAGGTACAGATCTTGAGGAGACCAACTTGGAGGTATGTACATGTTGTGATCAGAGTCGGGTTGATCTAGTTCCAACGGCCGATGGGATTCAACATGCAGAAGCTCTGAATCTTCAGTGCTGACATTCACAACATACCCATCATCCTTGTCCTCAATCTCATCCTCATCTTCCTTTCCTTCCGACAGCCTCGGCGAGTCCTTTACATGGAACGCTGCTGTCTGGCATGGAGTAGCAATTCCTTGTGTGGGGCCTTTGCTGTACGGCCAGCGATCGATCCCTAGTGACTTGCACGCGTTCTTCAGCGCCGTCAGCGAGATCTCCTGCCAAGCAACCTCCCCATCAGCTCCTCCTCCTCCCTCTCCCTCCTCACACAAGCCTCTGCCTCACCAGGTGCTCCGCAGCGTGGACCTGGCGCATGCAGAAGAGAGCTTCGAGGGAGGCTCTGGTGATGGACATGGCGGAAGGTCGCTGCTGATCGGGGGCGCTCCTTCTCCGTCTGGGGAAGACTATGTATGCTGGATCATACGTCGCTCTTGCCATGTTGTGCAATGAGAGGAGGAGGGATGGGGAAGGTTATGAGAATCGGGGAGACATGAGTTTTGACTGTCAGCTTCGGTCATGGATGCCACCTGATCACGTCGTACTCACGTAGTATTACAGTTTTGTTATTGTTAAAAACAAGTTTCAATCAGCTTCTACACTGTGATAGTTGTACATTCGCAACCAAACTTTGAGGCCTTGGTGTACCTGCTTGTGCATCCCGTCGCTCGTGTGGTTGGAGTAGCGGTTTTCGCTGCATCCTTGTTTTCCTAGAATTCTGTCGGCACCTCCCACAAGTCGTCCGATCCTCCATGCACAAACGGGTTTGTTCCGCACTCATCCTGCTGAATGGTCATGCTGTTCCAGTTTGACTCCATGCTACCCCCAACCACCATCGCTTTTGGAGTGCCCTCTTCGGCTCCAGGATTCTCCTCTTCGATTTCTGCAATGCGCAGTGTCGCGGCGCTGCTGTCTTCAGGACCCCCAGGCAGGCTCCTATATCCAACCAAGCTCCCACTCGGCGAGGAACCCATCGCATCTTCGTCTCCTCGGCAGTAAGGCCAGCGATCGATCCCTAGTGACTTGCACGCGTTCTTCAGCGCCGTCAGCGAGATCTCCTGCCAAGCAACCTCCCCATCAGCTTCTCCTCCTCCCTCTCCCTCCTCACACAAGCCTCTGCCTCACCAGGTGCTCCGCAGCGTGGACCTGGCGCATGCAGAAGAGAGCTTCGAGGGAGGCTCTGGTGATGGACATGGCGGAAGGTCGCTGCTGATCGGGGGCGCTCCTTCTTCGTCTTGGGAAGACTATATAGGCATCTCGCTGCATCATCTTCATCCTATTGTTGACGCTGTTGCACTCTTGTTGCTGTCCTCTAGTAGCGTGCTGCTGCTGCTGCTGCTGCTGCTGCTGCTGCGTCGAGGGCTGGGGCAGGTCTTAGTTAAAGGAGGGCAGAGGGGCACAGAGGCAGAGATCCCTGTTACACCTGCCCTGTCATCATACGGTCAATAGTCACGAGGGAAATGGCTGGCTTATTTGTGCCCTTCTGATATGATCACGAAACCCTCGGAGACTGGTCACGGTTTGTTGTCACGGCGCACTGTAGCGGCCATGGGATCACGAGCCTGGCTGACTGGTGTTAATAATGCGATATCTCTCCAGGCGGCCGCCATTAGTTTTATATCTTGTAAAACTGGTTTACTCAAAGTTAAGTAAAACAGTGACGTTCAGAGGTAGTCAGGCTCCCCCGGGCCGGTCGGTACTGACTCCGAGCCTCATATGACTCCCGACAGCCACCCAGGAATCTGCCAAGGAATGCCGTTCTTTGAGATCTTTAAAAAAGCAAGGGATGTTTATTCACAGGACTTTCTGTTGAGGTTGCCGATCCACACCCCAGCTAACTCATCCCAACGTAGTAGGTCGATCCGCTATACTGTAAACGGTTCAATTTGTTCGGAATGGCACGGTACAGGTTGGTCCTCCAGCCCGTCCGTCACCCCGCACATCACACCAGAAGAGGGTACTAGGATGTCTCAAACAACATCGGAAACATCATCCCGGAAATGCTGTCAAACCACGCATTAACTTTCGGGATATCGTACACGTCTACTCCTCAGGTCCAGGTACATCGTCACGAATTTCAAGTGATGTTATCGGAGACAAACCAGGGAATGAAGAGATGAACCCGGCAAGGGTCAGCATGTCTGTACTTCTTCACCGCCATCCCCTTCATTAGGACGAGGAAATCGCAGAGGCGCACAAAGTGTAACCCAGGACTACATCTCGATCGTCAACGACCTGGCGAGAATGGTCTGCTGGAGGATTTGAACAGCGTAGTCAAATTACTGCTGAAAACTTTATTGTACATTCCAACAGGCTAAATTGGTTGAGTTCCTATGTACACTGTGATCATCATTACATCCCGATCACGATCATGTTGCAAGTGCACGACTTTAAGACGCTCTGTCACTGCTCTTCCTCTCATCATCCCTCGTCATCCATCGCAATCCTTGGATCTTCAAAACCCACACCAACGAACCACTCGATCCACTGTATGGACACACCTGACTCCTTCCTGCCCTCTTCTTCTTCACGCATACGGGTAGGTCCAGCCTGAGCATCAGATGAGCAGCTCATCACGACCTCAGATGCATCTGACTCCTCCCCTTGCTGCTGATCGCTCATGTACGAATCGCAGCCATCGCCCTCGTGTCGCAATGCCAAGTCTGTGGGAGTGGCTGAGCTCCAGTGAGGAGAAGAGTTCCCAGGAGAAAGCTTCGTCACTTCAAAGGCAGCAAGATTGTTCTCGCTGTCAACATCTCCAGCACCAATAGGTCTCACCATCGCTACCTCCCCATTCTCTGACTCCCATGAAAGTGTAGTGGTGGGGCTCGACGACAAGCTTGCTCCGTCGCCTTCTTTTTGGTATGGCCATCGGTCGTATCCGAGGTGCTTGCAAGCGTTCTTGAAGGCTGTGAGCGAGATGCCCTGCACATCCATTCTACAGTCAGAAACGAGATGGTGGAAACGAACAACAATCTTCCTCACCAGGTGATTCGCAGCGTGGACCTGGCGCATGCAGAAGAGGCGTTGGAGGGACTCTCTAGTGATGGACATGGCGGGGGGACGTTCCTCATCAGGCGCCGTTCTCTTTCTTCTTGGGAATACCATGTAGGCGTCGGCTGGCTGCTGTAGCGACATGCTTGGGACTGCCGCGATCTGATCCCGGCGGGAGCGTGCAAGGGAACAAAGTGCGGGGGTTTTGCTCCGAGTTTACTACATTTCGTCCCCCCTCGTACCAGTCAAATGCTGACCGTGACCGGATGACAAAATACACCGTCGCTTCCGTGACTTTTTCCTGGGAGGCCTCCAGTCTCCCAACGAAACGACTTGTTATCAAAAATCTGATAGCCATTCATATCTCAGTTAAAAAAAAGGCCGAAAAGATGCATGATGCTCATCGACGACAACAACCCCGTAGCATTGCGCACATTCAACCCATCATCCTGCCAACTCTTTCACGCAGTGTCTGCCAGTTGCTTTGCAGAGACTAGAAGTTTGTAAACCGAGGAAGACGTTCATCCAGTCAAGAACAAGTCAAGCTCATATTTTCACCAATTTATTGCTATCATTCACACCGGGTAAACCAACAATCAGCCTCATCCTCTGATTTTAAAGATGAATGCAAAGATATGGTTGCATTATTCCCTCTTAATTGCCTCTCCTCTTCCTCCTTCACACTTGCATGAAGACCTGTAAATAATACTAGTGCCATATTGGATTTCTCGCATCTCTTGTGAGGGGGGGGATCTCCCCGTCACCACTCGATTGTAGGATCGTCATTCCCCATCCCCACGAACCACTCGATCCAGTCCCTGTGCAGTCGCACCTCGACATCTTGGCCTTCCTCTTCGTTGGGCTTCTCTGCTCCGTGCAGCCCGGTCGTCTCCTCCTGCCATGGCGACAAATTTTCTTGATTTGCTGGCGAATTGCATTGCAAGTCCTCAGACGTATCCGAGAACGTGATCTCTTGCTCTATATTGCTGGTGCAGTCGAGCATGGGGTAGGCAGGAGATTGAGGCTGTGCAGAAAACTCATCGCCTTCATGCTCCCCTGCTTGCTCTGTGTCTGTTGTTCTCCCCTCACCAGAACTTTCAGGCCAGCCATGAATGTTGATGGGGGAAGGGCTTGCTCCGTCGCCTTCTTTTTGGTATGGCCATCGGTCGTATCCGAGGTGCTTGCAAGCGTTCTTGAAGGCTGTGAGCGAGATGCCCTGCACATCAACCACACAGTCAAAAACGAGATGGTTGAAACGAACAACAATCTTCCTTACCAGGTGTCTTGCAGCATGGACCTGGCGCATGCAGAAGAGGCGTTGGAGGGACTCTCTAGTGATGGACATGGCAGGTGTTCTCTCATTCCATGGCGCTGCGACCCTCCTCCTCCTCGGGATCACCATGTACGCGTGCTCTCGCATCGGATGCGCCATTCCTATCGCTTTCGATAGCGGTTCGCTCGAAACCAGTCCTTTTGTCAGGGAGCCCCTACCCCACCCCCGCCCCTTGAGCCCCACAACCTATTTCGCAACGATTCCTCCGTCTCTTACTACCCCACCCTACCATTCCAGCATTTCCACCCCTGTCAGCTTTTATATCTCGTCCCTGGCCCTTTAATTCCAGTCGAAGAAGTACCCACCCCACCCCACCTTACCACATAGCAAGATGACTCAGGAGTTTATATTTCATCCCCGCATGTCAACAGCCCTCGTGACCGTCACTCCTTTGGCTCTTTTAACACCAACAAGTCACGGTCGGGTCACGACCCGGATAGTCGGAAGGCTCAGCGCGGCGGGCGAGTCTCACGCGGGCGGCCGGCCGCCGTGCGGTCAGAGCCCTAGTCTCTTTTACCGTCAAAGTTAAGTTGAAAATCAGTACGGTACCATGGGACAATCAAGAGAGTAGAGCCCTACGGTACTAATAATGTAAGTGTGACCGTACCGTATTGCCGCCCGGAACCCGTACTCGTACGCTCGGCACACGGTTGAGAAGAAACGGAACTTCGGAAGTTTGCCCCGCAACGTTCGGTTCATTGAAGGGCAATTTTGACTGGCAGCCTCCGTCACTAACTCACCGACTCAGCCTGAGCGGCAAGTTACAGACGAGGCTACTACTAGTACGTTACAGGCTCCTCCCTTTGAGTAAAAACTAAACCTGGGAGGATCGGACCGCGCCCGGCCTCGCTCTCCCCCGCCGTCGGACGAGCCTCCGAGGCTGCCGCTTGCCGCCTTCTTCGCCTCGGAGGATCCGTCCTCCGAGTCCGACGGTCGGCCTTGCGCTTCCGAGCGGCTTGCAGCATTCGGGCCTTGTAGCCCAGTGAGCGAAAGAGAAGCACCCGGCAGTCCGAGTCTCTGAGTGACTCAGTGACGGATACAAACGGTGCCGGGTAGCGGTAGGGCTGTAAATGCAGGCAATGGTAGTAAATAATATGGTGGTGATAGCAATTCACGGTCACCGTCACCTAAACCCAATGCCATGATGCGGCACTGCCAGGCTGCGCCGGGCACTGTCAGGTACTCCACCGGCTTCTTTACACAAAGTTCAATTAAAAATCAGTACTATCACTGAGTCACGAGGTACTACGTGTGACTCAGTGGGCCGGAGGCCCGTACGGTAGTCACCTGAGTACGGTACCCGTAGTAGAGCTGGTTGCCCGCCGACCCAGTACCACTCCGCAGTTACAGTGGCAGGCCCGCCAATGGTCCGGCGAGTCCGATCAGTCACTGACTCGCCAGTGAGTCACGGCAGTAGGGCTGGCCCGCTCACCGTGGGTCACCGTGGCCGCTGAACTTTCAAGAGTCTCTCGGATTTTGACAAGCGACCGAGGCACACGGCGATGAATGATCGGATAGTCTGAGATGCGGCGATGCCGGAGGCACATCTGACGGTGACCTGACCCACTGAGCGCTCAGGCTCACCGTACGGTCACAGGGACGATCGTTCTGCATCAAGACTGAGGCTCCGCCGTGACTGTTCGACTAGCTGGCACCGTACCGTGAGTGACGCGCTGGGCAGCCTGACCTGAGTCAGCGTGTCTGACGAGTCGACTGCCACGGAGTTAGGAGTGAAGGCGATCGCTGTAACATTGAGAGACAGTCGGAGTCATCTGCGATTGAAGACTGAGGTAGGGTGGGCAAACATAGGCCCCCGCAAGCCTGACACAAACTTGGCTGATCGACTTCATGAGCGCTAGAGAGTTCTGAATTTCAGCTGCGAGGAAACTTGAACCCTTGAAGCAATCAAACACCTGCCCAACTTTCAGCCTCCTGTCGGTCTTGATTTGTGAAATTGAGAAAGACTGCTTCCTTCCTGCTCTGCCATCAAGCAACAAAAGTGTCCCCTTCAGCTTGAGCCTTGAAATCATCATCATGCCATACTTCATTCCTCGAGGACAAAAGAAACATTTCAACAAGAGCGTCGTGCCAGATGATCCGAATGTGAATCAGGGACTCCATCAATCATCAGCTGCCACTAAATCACTGCAAGGAATCTCGAACAGAGCCAACTCTTCTAGCAACTTCGACCCCATGCATGTTCACCTTACCGGCAACTTCTCCTTGTATGCCAGGATTCCAGAACAGCAAACCCCTGCTTGCGCAGAACCTTCCGGGTGGAGGCAGTATCAGTATCGGAAGCAGACTCAAGCTGCTTCTCCTGACAGCGCCGCGACAAAGCCAACCAAACGGGGGGCTCCCAAGAAACGGAGGAGTCGAACGGCGTACACGAGGAGGCCGAGGAAGCCTCAGATAGCCGTCCCAGCTGTGGGGGAGCAGCCAAAGAGGAAGCGAGGGAGACCCCGCAAGTACCCCAGACCTGAGGAAGCGACAGAAGCTGCTGCCGCCATCCCCAGTGGCGGCAACGAGCTTGACGCACCTGTTGTTGTTGCTCCGCAAGAAGAGAGAGAGGAGACCTCTCCCCTGAGCCTCGACGCAAACAGACGTCTCGGCTACGCAGCGCCCGGGTGATACATGGAGGGCAGTGTGTTGTAGCTGGCCTTGCTGACAACAGAAGAGTAGGGGAGGGTCGACGAGAGCGAGGAGGACAGGAGGAGGCGATTTGCGATCGAGACCAAGACCTGGATTGAGGCAGCGATATGGCGAGAGGGACTGAGCTTGGACCTGGTGCGAGCGATCTCCTCTCCAGCTCCCAGTGACGCCTGCTTGCCTCACAGATCGCTGACAGCTCGGGAGTTCCAGTAGACCGGCTGCAGTTGTGGTTTCAGGACCCCATGAAGATGGAAATCTTCACGCCGCACCTCAGGTCCTGGATCCAGAGCTTCTTCGCTAACGCCGGGAAGTTCCGGTGGGAGAAGACAAAGCTCTGGCTCTCCAGCGTCATGTGCTTCCACAACCTTGACATCGACCAGGTGACTAGCAGGGCAGCTGGGGGCAGCGAGCTGGGGGCCGGCAGCTGGCCAAGTGACGCGTGCCGCAGATCGCTGACATCATCGGCTTTCCGGCAGACATGCTCATCGAGTGGTTTCAAGTGCCCGACGCTCATCGGGAGATCACGCTGGTGATCAGAGAGTGGATGGTGTCGCTCATAGAAGGCAACGGGCCCAACGTGATGGACGGGTCCCTTCGACCTCCCTCTGCCGTCGATCAGGGTGGGTCAAGGGTGCCATCCCTCCCCAGCTGACCTCCTGCTGTAGACTCCCGCCCTTCAGACCTGCTCGCCTGGGACGTCGACGACGTCAAGACGTTCTTCAAGTCCTGCAAATTCCCCGTGGAAGGCGTCGAGAGCGCCGGGATCGACGGCAGAACGCTGGTGGATGTCTTCCTGGACAGAGAGCGGCACCACGTCTTCACGTCGCCTCCTCCTCACGGCCTTGGGATGACTCCCTTGCAGTTCCACTCTCGTTTCATGTCGGAGATGAAGCGGCACGGCATACGACCACCATGAGCGACATGCGTCATGGATGACGACGTGGCAGCTGTAGAGTGGTGAAGGCATGCAGAGCAGTGACGTCGGTAAAGTTTACATAATCATCGAGTGTAGACACATGAAACAGGATGAGGCTGACTGCCCTCAAGTACTCTCACTCCTGCAATACATGCCGTGAGTCATGAGACGGAGATCATGATGTAAAATCCTCACTTATTCCCCTTCTGCTCCTTGATGAGTTTGAGGAAATTCTGCAGACATCAAGTAAGAGCAAGCAATCAGAGCTTTGTTGCCCACTCGTTCAATCCTTCCAGCCTCGGGTTTCAAGTTGGCAAAATGGCGGATGACCGCAGCCTGATAGAAGAAAGAGATCAGGTGAACGGAAACAGAGATAATCGAGAAGACAGGGGATGGTGAAGGGGAGGAGGTGAGCGGAATTGGGATAGAAACAAGTGAACAGGACAGATGAAGAAGAGCATGAAGGGTGAGCATGGAGGGAAATCAGATGCTTGTCTGAAGACCTGCAAGTCTTCTTTGTTGTTGCTCGTAGGTCCAGTCTTGAGCCCGAAGTGTCTTTTGTACTGTTGCAACCAAACAAACGTCATCGTCTTCACCATCACCAGCCCCATCGCACGCGCAAACCCCCCGGGGCTCCATCACCTTCTTCAGCGCTGCAACGTCCAATCTTCGAATCCCCTGAGAGCATGTCAGGTGAGCATTCAAGAGCCAACTCTCCCTCACCTTGTCGACGGTGATCTTGGGCAGGTTTTCCTGCATACGCTTCTTCTTCTCAGCTTCCCCAGCGCTACAACCCCGTCAGTCACACCCGTGATAGCAACAACCTTGCGCGGGTCACTTGTTCGAGCTGCTTGCTCCCGACGACGACTTCTCCGCTGTCCGCTTGCTCGTACCTGAACAAACATATCAGAGGATCAGAGGAAGACTGATAGAGTCCAGCTTGGTCACAATACCTCCATCCTTGGAATCTTTGTTCTCCTTCGTGTCTTTCGTGCCCTTCCTAGCTGGTCGAGAGGAGGAGGGGCTGCGGGGCACGGTTACAGAGGCAGCCATGCAGGAGACAGCCTACCTCGCGTCCGGTTTCTTCGGCTCAGTCTTCACAGCAGCGTCACCGTTGAGGAACTGGAGGGAGCACATCATCAAACAGTGCAGAAGCAACATCGGCGATGTCGACGAACATGTCAGATCAAGCACACATCCAAGCTAGCATGGCACAGATCCCCCACCTTCTTTGCAGCGTCGCGTTTTGGCCTTTCCGTCGCCGAGTTGGTCGAATCCGACATACCTGGGATGCCGTTGCAGAAATAGTGATGCTCGTGTGTTCTTGTTCTTGTCACTACGTGAGAACGATCCACGGACTACTTGAGTTCGATCCAAGAGCTTGTAGAGCTGGAGCATCGTCAGCCCTGCCTGTTTTTCTTGCTACCTGTTGCAAGGAAAGGGGACTCGTAGAACATCTCATATCGAAACCGCTAACGTCTTATAGAATCTTCTCACTACAACTAAGAGAGATTGTGCTCAAATCGTCTATCTGGCATATTCAGTGCTTTTCAGAATCAAGAAGCTCTTGTCTGTCTCCCGCCATTCACTGAGTCGGCTCTAGCACAATGGACATACATTCTGTCACCATGGAGTTGAAGTGAGCCATGTTGGCAAGTATGCACTGAGATTGAAACAAGACTGCACAAAGCATATCAACCCTCAAACTATCATGTATCACTTGTTCCTCCTTCCCTTGCCTCCCCCTTCCCTTCTCTTCTCTGTCCCCTTCCATTTCAGGCCATGCGAATCCTGGGAAGCAGTAAGGTCACAACCGGTCCCAGTAAAATCCCCTTCCGTGAAGGGGTAGTCATACTTTTTGATGCAGGTGGATTTTGAAGGGTGGGTTATGAAATATGACCCGTCGTTGGATACTGAAATTGAGTCAAAGGGGTGGGTAGTTATAGGTCAACGTTCCGTAGGTGACATGGGTACAACTCCGGGTTGCAAAAAAAATGACCAAGGGGTGGGTTGGCTACAGATGTTGAAGGGGTGGTATTTGTGGGGTGGGTCCTAATGAGGGTTTGGGAGGGGTGGGTCACACTGTTGAAATGAGGGGAAGGAAACCGAGAAGTACGGGTGGTATCTACAGGATAATCGTCTAATTTGATGGGTAGGGTTGAAGTGGACAGGAGGGTGGGTAGAATGAGAGCTGTGAGGACCCGTGGATTCTACCGCCTCACAATCAATAACTTTACTCAAAGTTAAGTTAAAAATCAGTAGGCTGCCACGGCGACTCGCCGGGCCGCGACCGTCGGTCCCGCCCGGCGGGCCCGGGCCGCCGCACCCGGCGTCCGGCGCCGGCTGGCGCGGCCGGGCGGCAGTGCACCGCGCCGGCGCGGCCCGGCCGCGGGGCCGCGGCGGGGCCCGGCTGTCAGTGCCGCCGCCGAAGTTGACCCGGTTTAGTATCCGGCGGCGCCGCCGCCGGGCGGCGCCTAACTAGTAACAGGCCCGGCCGCTGCCACTGGCACCGTGCCAGTGGCAGCGGGCGGTGGCACGGCCACCGAATAACCGGTGGCACGGCCACCGAATAACGGTATGGTTCCCGGATCCGTACCGCGCCGGCCCGCGGCGCTCGGCCGTTGCATTATAAGTACGAGACCGTTACCTGGGGGTATAAAGTAGTAGGCTACACCCAAGGCGACGCCTGTAAGATCCCCCGGAAGCTCTGGAACGACATCGCTGATATACCCTGCAAGTCATTACCCCCACCCCCATATTGACTGCTTACACACAAGTCAATGAAGGAAATAGTGGGGTGGGGTAGGGTACCCACCCACGAACAATGCAGGAGACGGATCTCCCCTTTATATCCCCTCTCTCGCTTGCTATATAACTAGTGCCCGACGACAGGATCGTAACCCAGCCATGCTCCGCACAGTCGCTGCCTTTGCTTGTGTAGCTTCAGCAGTCTCTTTCTCTCCCTCCTCTCTCCCTATCGCTTCCTCGTCTTCTCTCTCGAGATGCGTGCGCCCTTCCTCCCAGAAGCTCGCCCTCCGCATGCAGTCCATGGAGGATGAACAGATCAACCAGGCTGCCAGCAAGCTCAAGAACTCTGCGCTCTCTGATTCCTTCAAGGCCAAGGACGTCAACGAGGGTCCTTCTCCCGTTTCTACTGGTGGGACTCAGTACGTGAAACCCGACAAGGTCGCACCCCTCTTTATTATCCCTCAGACCTCCGTGGTTGGAGATGGGGAGATGGTTGGAGACAAGGGGTTTGATCCCCTCGGACTCGCTGACTCCAAGGCCAAGCTGAGGATCTACAGAGAGGCCGAGCTCAAACACGGACGTCTTGCTATGCTCGCCGCACTCGGGTGGCCCGTTGCTGAGCTTCTCAACAAGCCCCTCGCGCAGATGATGGGTGCCAAGTCTCTTCTCGTTGCCTCGCCCACTGGCGTCGTTAGTGGAGACGAGCTCGGGGTTGATGCACTTACTCGCGTTCCTTCCCTCCTCAACGGAGGCCTTGATGCCGTCTCTCCCTTGTACTGGGCCGGCGTGCTTGCATTCTCTGCTGCTGTGGAGTTCTACGCTACCAAGATCCAGAAGAGGGCGGGTTTCCGCGCCACCATGGCGGCTCTTGGAGCGGAGGACATCACTGGAATTGACATTGATGGAGACGGTCAGGTCGGAGCTCCCATCCTCCTCAAGGACGACAACTACCTTCCTGGAGATCTCGGCTTCGACCCTCTCAACATCTACAGGGGACTCGATAACAAGGGAAAGAGGGACATGCAGCTTAAGGAGCTCAACAATGGCCGTCTTGCCATGATCGCCATCACTGGATATGCGTTCAACGAGGCAGCCACCAAGATCTCTGTCGTGCAGGAGCTTGGCCTTCCCCAGTAAGAAATGTTTGATACAGATGTATTGGTGTACAGTAAAGATAAGCTCTTACCAACTTGAATTGCACGATAAACGTGTCAGCCATTCGAGTGATTATCGAACATTTGCAAAAGCGTTTTTGGTCTTCTAGCCGCATGATACAGAACTACAAACCAGAAAGTGCAACTTTGGGTATGACGTTACGTGAGGCATTCTCGTAATCATAACAAAGCAGAGCACGAGTCCTTCATTGTATAGAGATGCTTCTAGAATATTCACCAATTGTAACATAATCAAACTGTAGCCATGGTACATGTTACGTGACAGGGTTTGAGTCTATTCTGAGGTTTTCTCCTTCATAAATTGAAACGAATTCTGTTTACAAAGAGAAAACTTTACATTGCAACAAACCAATGGGCATGGAGTTTTGATACACGTCTTTCACTTCAAATTAGAATTGATTTCAACATGAGCTTGCGCTTGCTAAGTTTCTGAGATCACCTTTGCTAAGTTTCCGAGATCACCACAAGAAGAATCGAAAACAAATCATTAACAGAAGCTTCATTTTACAGAAGCTTCCGACAGTAATTTGATATTGTTTCAAGCTATTCAATCGTCTTGAATCGGACAACAAACATCAAACTAGTAGCGCGCATCCAGCTCTTGACGCCACACCAAGTTCGCGCTTCCGAAGTTGTGTGACGGTGAGCGGCACATTGATGACCGATCATAGGTGAAGAGGAGGCTGCATCGATGCAGTGCTGCTATCTGCCACTGTCTGCTAGGACTGAGTCGGCGAGAGCAGAGTCGCCATAAGCTAGGCCCACCTACGGTGCGCCGGGTATCCGATAGTACTGTCACTGAACAACTTGCCAAGTCACTGAGTCACTAACTTTGAGTATTGAATTATTTTCCATTGAAGTTAGCCTGCCAGGGGTACCGTCGGCCAGGCACTGCGGCAGCCTGAGTCGGACGGCCGTTCAACGGTTCGCGGCCCGGGCCGCCGTGCCGCGGCGCCGCGCGGCCGCGGCCGCCGCTCCGGCCGCGCCGGCCCGGCGGGCGGCCCGGGCCCTCAGTCGGCCCGGCCCGGCGGGCCGACTCAGCCCGGCTGTGACCGTACTACGGTACACGCCGTGACGAGGGCCCGGCCCGGCCCCCGGCGGGCCGGGCGCCGGGCGGGCCGGACCGCGGAACCGAGGTTTCGCTGGAAGCCTTGAAGTTCGCCGCTGACTCGGTGACTCGTGAGTCCGGGAGTAAACTTGCGTACCGTGAGCACTGCAGTGCCACGGTGAATACCGTATCACCGTACCGGCGGTACTGGCACCGTGACACGGGTGTCAAGGACCCTGACACCGAAGAAGGGCTTCAACGTGTCCATGATTACGCAGCCAGTGACATGACTCTGAGACCGGTGCGGTGAAGTCGTTATTGACTGAAAAAGAAGGGCAAACCTGGTGAAGTACTCCCATAACTCCCCGGTTCCGTCACGCAGGCGGCGGCTCGGGAAAATGGGGCATTCTGCAGGCCCGGGGCGTGACGACCGGGATTGGACCACTTCCCCCCACAGACCTGGGACTCTTAAAAGCGAGGCCGTCAGCAGGATTGGAAAAGAGACGATTTGAAACCCCACTATCATGTGACTGCTTCGGCTTCTTTTACTACACCAATACCCTACCTCGGAAATGTGGTTAAAGCATCGAAATTGACATTAAAAAACGCAAAGATCACCGAGATGAAGTATTTTTATGTGTGAGATTTTGTTTTTTTATGGTTTATGCGTACTTTTATTAAACGCGTTTTAGGGAACGTGCATCAACAATGCTAAAACTAATTTATGGAGTATCCACAAATATTTTTTTGATATTTGAAATCAAGTCAAGGAATTTGAGGGATGAAATGAGACACAATTTTTTCCAATTGTGCAATTCAACAATTGGGATGTCGCCACCCACGGAAGCGTCTTCTTGGATTCTCCAACCCCAGCCCCACGTACCCCTGTCACCCCCTTCAAGTACCCCTACCCTTTCTGGTTCCCTGAAATCACCCCAGGTTTTAAAGAACCCGTGCTTGAAACTTTACGGTGGGTGGGTGGGGCATGAATCAGGGGTGGAGGTCGACAGGGGGTGGTACGGGTCTCATTTCCGGGGACGAAAACTCAAACTGAAATAGAAACGAAATCGAGCTCTTTCGATAACTATGGGACGGAGAGATGCTGACCGAAAAAAATCTTTTTGGAGAAGCTGAGGAGTAAAGTTGGCACCCCTGCTTGCGGATCCGCCTCATCACCCCCTTTTCTGCGGTCTATGATAGGGGTACAATCGTATAAAACGTGGCATTGTTATTTAGATTTCTATACAAAGTTTTATACAGCCCCCCCTCCCCGCATTCCCTTTTCGCCCCCGGCACCTGGACGGCGCCCCACGTATTCCTTTCCTCAGTCCCCTTTCCACAACCCCCGACACAAGTTTCTCAACCACACGGCCCCTCCCACCTGCTTCCTGCTGCCTCACACACACGCACAAGACTGCAGGACATTCTTCACCATCCGTTATCCTCCCACAACACTGGAACCCTGGAAGCAATCGAAACTGCTGCTTGACTGAAATGGAAGCCAACAATCTCCGTGCAAGAGACATCCAAATCACCCTCGACTCGGAACATCATTATGATACACAAAGCCTATTCTCAGACATCGATGGACGCGACTTGAGGCGCAAAACCAATCTTAAGTCAGTCGTATCCTGTGATTTTGACCACTCGAGTTGGTTCGATACATCAGTGGATGATGCAATCGATGCTTTGTACAATCCGAAGGCGCCCTTTGCTTATTCTCGCCAGAAAGTTTGCAACGATCCGTTTCAGGATGAAAACACCTTCGACTTCTTGGATGTTTACTTCGAGGATGAGTGTACTGATATGCAATCGGAGGATGGACTAAATTCCATATCCCCTGTTGAAGCCAACTCGTCATCACCCCAGAATTGCAAAAGGACACAATCAGAACAGGCTCAAACGATCTCCTTGTATAAGACGGGGCATTGGAGTGAGGACGAACATAATGCATTCCTGGACGCATTGGCAAAGTTCGGACCCAAGAAGCCGAACTCGGGTGTCAAGTTGGGCCCAGGGGTTGCAGAGCTCATCGCCTTGGCCGTCAAGACAAGGAGTGTATCTCAAGTCCGATCGCATGCACAGAAGTACTTCAAGAAGAATGACGCGTTTGCTTGCGTAGCAAGGCTGCAGCCTCTGGTGGGGACGGCACTTTGAAGGATGAGGGTGCGATACAATCCGTAGCCAATAACACGTAACACGCTTTTCAGCTTTTTTCTTGAGGAATCCTGGTTCCTTGCTGTGTATAAAAGTTCTACAATAGTTGATAAAACTAAGATCATTCCTGCATGTTTCTGCTCCTTGCATGGCATTGCCTACCTTAATGTTTTAAAACATCTATCCAGAAACCCTGTCTTCAGCAGCCTGCAAACAAACAAAAAGAACAATCTCAATAATTGATCCTCAACAACAGGAGGTTGCATTTACGTCTTGGACGGTGTCCCATGCAATGGGCCCGATCACGCCACATTGCTGTTCAACGGTTAGCAGTCGAACAGATTCGCCGATTGATCTTCCTCCGCACCTGAGATGGAAGAATAGGATACTCATTGGCCGGGCAAGTGACCCTGCGGACATGTTAGATCTCATCGTGGTGGGGTTGTGATCGCAGCCACACGTTATGTGTACAGGGCACTTTGAAAACCTGGATAGCAAGGACAAGCATCACCACGGACGATAAGAGCAAGTGATCAAGGCATGTACCATTCGTAACCTCTGAGAGGATGTCCATCCCTCTTGTCGATCACCGTACATTCTTCCTGCAGCCTAAATTCAGCAGCAAAAGAGGGCAAGAGAAAGCATGATACACACCAGCGAAGCAAACCTCCGGATCGCCGAAAACATGCCCATGGCTATATGGATAGTAAGATTTAAGCCATAATGATTCGGGAACCAACATATAAGAGATGCGCCAAACAACAGAATTTCAGGGACCACTACTAGGGCTGAGGGCTACAACAACCGCGATTTAGCTTCATATCATCAGGTTGAAGCAGTTGGGAACTACAATCATCATGCTTCCAACTTAATAATGTCTGCTTTGTCTTGTTCATTTGAATCGCACAATACCTCTCTTACAAATTCTTCATCGCTCAGCTCTTGCTGCCTTGTTCGCCGGTGGAAAGACCGATGACACAACTTTGTTGTATCTGCCTGCTATTCCTCTCAACCTCCTCCGTTAAAGTATCTGCCTGCTATTCCTCTTAACCTTCACCAACCTATCCTGCCTTGCCCTATCTGATGTTCTCTCCCTGATCTGGACCTCTCATCTGGCATGCGCCCACTTCTCCTCTCTCCCTGTCGTCCTCGTCCTCGCCACATCGGATCTGTGTGCCATTTTTCGACCTGGTCAAATTTGACCCTACGTTTGACTACCGCCATTAGTACCAGTGGTACAGTTTTTACTTTTTAATAATGTTATAATCTTTATAACTGTAATACCTGTACAAACGCGATGTGGTAGTCATAAGGAGGACCGCGGTAGAGAAATGACCATGGAAAAATATCTGAGTTTTAACTTATTACTCTATAAGTGAGGGGATTGTACCAGACCAGAAATAGCACTACCAAAGTGGTTGAATACAAGCTGTAGAAATGTGGAAAAAATGTACCATCCTTCCAGAATCACCGAGAAGGAAAGGTACCAAATACTATTTTTTAAAAGTATATTTCTATACAATAAACCAAAGAACAAATTATTCAGGAACATCTTTGTATCAAATCGGGTATTTCCAGGTACCATTTTATAATTACCGGTACAAACGCAGTACCAGCCGCCGACTCCGATAGCAGCTCTTTAAATAAGTTCTGCCGGCGGGCCGCGGCACAGACGCGTGATCCGAGATAGATGGATGACCGTATAGCCAGCTATGTCAGCAATCCGTCAGCCACACCTGTACCGACTTTTTTAAAACTTCATGGAGGTTATAAACACCAGAAGTGTTTTAAATTTGTATGAAGATAATTATGTTTTAAAGGAGACGATGTATGTGTGTTTGGTTGGCATTTTGTAGCTTTTTCGTTCGAGTACCCCTTAAAACACCTCGATAAATAGTTAGGTGTGATAACGTTCAGAACATAGCAAAGCCGGATGCACCAGCTAGATATCTGAAGATGTCAATTTCCCGAGAACAGGTTTCATTGCTTTTGAAATGTTACAGGTGCATTTCGCCTAAAAGAAGCACTTTCGATAGTTGAGCCTGTATGCATATTGAAATTGTGATCTATTATGTTCAAATTTGATTGTGATATTCCGATTTGAAAGTTTGAAAAGGGCTGCAACCCCGAGTCCCTTCGAGGCCATGATATATAATATTGTTGAAAAATTGTCTTTGGTGTACTGGTAAAAATCTTCGTACTCAATTGAGTACCAAGAAAAAATATAATTTATGTTTAAAACTTTTGGTTATACCCTACTATCACTGACAAATTTAAAATTATCTTGATGTAAATTTGAAAATAACAGCCATCAATTCAATTCTCTTTTTCTTGACAAGGTTTGCCTTCCTAATAGAGCTCTACAATGCGACGACTGGCCATGCAAGAGCAAAGGAAGGGGAAAGGAAGATGGAAGGAGGCGGGAAGGGGAGGGGAGAGGGGGGGAGGAAAATTTGAGAGGAGAGGAGAGAAGAGGAGAGGAGAGGAGAGGAGTCCAAGATTAGGATCAGAAATATGAATTTAGAAGATCGATGGGGTAAGTGCGAAGATTCATTCTGAGAAGCAACACGACACGAGGTTACAAATTGCTCCATGCGTACGTGTTCTCTTACAGGAGAATGGCATGTCATAAATCAAGCCATTCGAAATGTTTGTGATCATCTCCGAGGCAGGGGGCATGGAGGTCGGTATGTGAAGAAGTTTACCATTTTGATCTAGACCATTAGTTCGAAGTTACTAGGTTCAAGTCTCTCAGTCGTTTTGATTGCTCTTTTTTTTTCAAATCATGCTGTGTTTGACTTTTTCTTCTTTATTTCCTTCTTCTCCTTCTCCTTCTCCTTCTCCTCTTTCTCCTTGATCTCCTCCTCCTCCTCCTCCTCCTACTACTACTACTACTACTACTACTACTACTACTCACTCCTCTCCTTCCCCTCCCCTCTCCTCACCATCTCTGTTTCTCCCTCTTGTCTTCCGTCCATCTTGCAGTTGACATCTTCGCCGCTGGTATCAGTATGCCGCTAATCGTGCTGCTTGGCCTTGTCAGCTTAGCATCTAGTGGTACCGCCTTCTTGCATTCACGTCTGCCGCTTTCGCCTCGGCCATTCTCTCCTTCCGTTCGCGCCTGTCGCCACCAGAATCTCCTCCACCAGGATGGGATGAGAAACAGGCGCCCGTCGATCCTGACTCTCACTGCCTCCGATCTGTTCGATGGTATTGAGCCCAATGAGGTATTTCCTGCTGCCAAGCCGAAGCCGAAGCAAGTGGAGGCAGGTGGGGTGAAGGTGTTGTGAGGTGCGACGGGATGACGTGCTTCTTTCAGATCTCTGCGGGATCGACGAGATGCTGGACTCTACTAAGAGGATACGAAAGAGCGGAATGACCTTCTCCTCCAGCTCCACCACCATCCGCGAACCAGTCAGGGTAGCTGGGCTTGACAAGTACATGACATTGACGACTTGGCACGGCTGCTTCCCGGTGTTTGCGGGCCGCAGCAAGCGCTCCAAGAAGCTGAGGATGGATGTAAGGAAAGCGGCCAGCGATCCCAAGGCTCGGTCTGTGATCATCGTCGGGGAGAGCGGGCTAGAGAAGGACTCAGTAAGCACCTTCGTCCACGAGCTGGGAGACAAGCAGAAGGCACATCACCTCTACAGGATATCGGGGACTTCTTCGACCTTCACTGAGATCTTCGGCACGGCAGAGTATCCGGGAGTCCTCGACAACGTTGCTGAGACTAGGCACGCGCTGTCCTTTGCCAACTTTGACAAGCTCCTCAAGACTGAGGAGGAAGCCCGGGAGTTCCTACACCTTCTGGAGACGAAGAAGTACTTCAGCCGGTTCCATGGCGAAGAGCGGGTCTGTCATGCGAGACTGATCGCCACAATCGACCAGGACGACGACCGCTTCAAGTCCAACGAGTTGCTCCAGATCGCTGTGCCTTCGCTCCGGGGGAGATCCGCAGACATCGATATGATCGCCAACGCAAAGTTGCAGAGGATCGTTCGACGACGCGGCCTCCCTCACATCTCCTTCTCCCCGGAGGCCATGCACCGGCTCAAGACGTACTCCTGGCCCGGGAACCTGAGGGAGCTGGGCTCAGTGCTGGAGAGGGCGGTGTACCTCTTCGAGAACGACCGGTCCGAGCATCCCTACATCCCCTGGAAGATCACGGCCGAGCACGCCATCACCTCCACCTCGCACTACAACACTGAGTTCCTGCGGTACAACCTCCTCTCCAAGTTCCAGTCCCTCCAGGCCATCACGCGCTCCCCTTGGGTCTTCGACGACTTCATGAAGTACGTCGTCCCTCCCTCCTTCGCCCTCGTCCTCGCCATCCTCTGGCTCGGCCCTCAGACGCGGGACGAAAACGCCGCACTTACCGTCTTCTGGACATGGTGGTGGCCTGGGGCCCTTCTCTCCTACCCTCTCTTCAGCAGAGTCTGGTGCGCTGTCTGCCCCTTCATGGCATGCGGGGAGCTGGTACAGGCAGCCAAGAAGTCGCTGGGAGGGAAGCTGGGAGAATGGCCGAGCAGCGCCAAGAAGTGGGGGCCCCCGTTCGCCTACGGCTTGTTCGCCGCGATCCTCATGTGGGAGGAACTGTGGAACCTGCCGGACAACGGGAGCCTGTCGGCCTGGCTTCTGGTGCTTATCACGTCCGGAGCTGTGGTTGGATCCCTGAGCTTTGAGAAGAGGATATGGTGCCGCCATTTCTGCCCCATCGGCGCCATGAACGGGCTGTACAGCAAGATGGCCCTGCTGGAGATCAGGTCATGGAAGGGAGTCTGCTCCGGCTGCACTGCGCAGAACTGCATCCAGGGCAACCCGGTCGACAACAACCTGCCCGGGGCAGGATGCCCACTAGACAGCTCGGTGAGGAGGGGGGGCGAGGAGGAGAGAGTGGGAAGACGAGGAGCTACAGTAGGAGCAGGAGCAGGAGCAAGAGCAGGGGGGGGAAAGTTAAGGGAGGGGGGGGGGAGAGACGAGGAGGGGATGAGATGAGAGGCTGACTGATTTGGTTGCAGCCCAACAAGCTCGCCGACAATGCTGATGTGAGAACAATTGCTTCCTCCTCCTCCTCCTCCTCCTCCTCCTCCTCCTTTTACCGCCTCCCTTTCATCCCCTTCACCGTGCCCTACCATCTTCTCTGAATGATTCCTCTACCTTCCTTCCGTTCCCTCCCTCCCTCCCTCCTCCTCATGTCTTTGGCAGTGTGTCATGTGCTTCCGCTGCGTGAAGTCTTGCGAGAAAGGGTCCCCCGAGTTCAATCTCCGTCCTCCAGGCATCGACTTCGGAATCCCCTTCCTCCTCCCCATCCCCGGCACGGAGGTTCCCGCCAAGTACAAGACCAACCCATGGCAAGCTGCCCTCCTCTTCCTCCTCCAGGGTGCCGTCTACGTTCACTTCATCCCCCTCATCCTCTCAGACGTCGGGCTGGGCGACTCGTCCATCGCCTCCTCCCAGTTCGGAGACGGGCTGGACTTCGCCATGCACAGCCTTGTTACTCTCCTCCTCCTCCTCTTCCCCGGAGCTCTCCTCTTCGGAGCGGACCAGCTGGGCAGGAAGCTGGATGCGTCGGAGGTTGTCAAGAGGCTGTTCCCAGCACAGGTACAGGACGTCATGCTCACAGACGCTCTGCGAAGGAACGACGTTGACGCCTTCGCCATGGCGGCAGGAGGTACCGCGACCCTCCGACAGGCTCCTCCTCCCCGCCCGTCAGTGCAGGAGACCCTGATGGAGGCAGCGAGGGCGCAGGAGGGAGAGGACGGCAGCAGCAGCAGCAGCAGCAGCGATCCGTTCAACCAGCTGGTCCACGTGGCATACGGCTACCTGCCCATGGTCTGGACCTGCAACATCGCGTTCTGGATCAGCCGAGCGCTAGAGGAGGGAGGGACTATCCTCCCCCGCGCCGTGAGCACTTTCGGGCTCAACCCCTCCATGCAGGACTGGCTGCCCTACGTAGTGGCCGACGAGCACGTGGTGGAGTTTGTGCAGGGAGGCTTCATCCTCTTCGGCCTGCCCTTCACCTACTTTCTCACCCAGAAGATCTGCAGGGACTTCAACCTCGGCCCAGCTCAGCGCTCAGCTCACGCCCTCCTCCAGCTGTTCTTCGCCGCCAGTTTGTGGCACTGCATGATCCACTGAGCTCCTCCCATACCTCCTTCCCCTCCTGGCCCGAATTTACAGCTGGGCGCGTTAACTCCATCCCCAGCTCGTTCATCAATCTTACAGCGAACGTGAATACATGAGACAAAGATGCTCGCGTCCTCCTCCTCAACATCTTCGTCATCATCATCATCATCATCATCATCATCATCATCACCATCACCATCATCGTCATCGTCATCATCATCATCATCAGCAGCAGCAGCAGCAGCAGCATCGTCATCAGCATCATCATCATCATCATCGTCATCATTCTCCTCCTCCCTCCCTCCCTCTATCCATCTATCCGTCTCCTCCTCCATCTCCATTTTTCCCCTTCATTATGCTCAGTTCCCAGCCTCGACACCTCTTCTTCCCCAACTTGCCGTCCTACATCAATGCTCTTCTCTCTTCTCATCCGAAAGTGATTTTCTTCTTTCCTCCTCCTCCTCCTGCCGCTGCCGCTCCTGGAAAAGAATCGACTTTGGTGGTGGACAACCGTCGTCCAACATTATCGTGAGGAGGTTCAAACTGCAGCTCCATTCAGTGAGCAGGAGGATGAGGCCACAAGCACGAGAGAGCAGAGGCAGGAAGGCGAGGTAGACAAAGGGTCTAGAGAAAGGTGAGCCTCCGGAGCGGCAGCAGCAGGAGCAGGAGCAGCGGGAGAAGGGGAGGGATAGGGAGGAGGGAGAGCAGCAGCAGCAGCAGCAGCAGCAGCAGCAGCAGCAGCAGCAGCAGCAGCAGCAGATTTCGCTTTCTCTTCTCATCAATCTGTCAGACCTGTAAGTAGTTCATGTGCACAAGTTTCCAATCGATGCCGACGCTTGCCTGAACCTTCGTCAACGACAATGCAGAGAGAGGAAGAGAGAAAGAGGAGGAGGAGAACGAAAGAAGAGAGAAGGAATAAGAAGACAGGGAGTGAAAGAGTGAGCAAGATAAGAAATAGATATCGCCAGAAATCAGTGCAGGCGGCAGAGCGAACTCAACAAATCGAACGCTCGCACCAGGGGGGAGGAAAGAAGAGGAGGACAGCAAGGATCTGACATCACCCGTCTGGGAGTAAGCATCCTCGAAGTCGCCTGCTGCTCGACCAGGCTCGATCGCCTCTGGAACGAGAGAGTCAGGGAAGTAGGAGCAAGAGGACACCACAAGTCCTACAGAGTTGGCTGAGTGGATGGCTGCCTGCCAACGATCGTGAGGAGCTTGAGGGAGAAGGAGAAGTAATGCGGGAGAGAGGGGGAAAGAGGAGGGGAGAGGTAGAAGAAAAGCGAGGGAGGGAGGGAGAGGGAGGGAGGGAGGGAGGGAGGGAGGGGGAAGAGGGGGACGGAGGGGGCAGGTGGAGGGGCAGGCACAGGCACATTGAGAAGTAGAGAGGAGGAGGAGGAGGAGGAGGAGGAGGAGGAGGAGAGTATCTCACAGCGTTGTCTCTGTTGGATAAGCAGAAGCTCTTTGGCGTGTTGATCGCTGATCAATAAACAATGAGCAATCGCCTCATAGCAGTTTGTTCTCACCAGGATCTCCCGTTTCAGCCTCTATCCACCTTTCGTACGTTGCCCTCTGAGGAGCTGAATGAGCATCGAGGGCAGAGTGGAGAGGACAGGAGGCGGAAGAAGCGAGGTGAGAGGTTTCAGACTGCACAACGAGGAAAGGGCGCGCTGGGGACAAGCAGGGTGAGCAAGAGGAGGAGGAGGAGGGGGGAGGTGGAGGAGGAGGAGGCAGGAGGAGCAAGAGGAGGAGGAGGAGGAGGAAGGAAAC